ACACATGTTTAACTGTTAATGGTATTTGTATGTTCTAAGTGAATTCTCCATCTATTTAATTTCGATATACTTAATAATTCTGCATATATATAGTACATAAACAAATATATAAGCATAAATATATTGAAATTTAAAGGAAATTGAACCTTATACAATGAGCTTAATTTCATATAGTTCTTCAGATAATATATTGATAATCCTCAAATATGTGTAAGATGTGAGCTTTAAATTATGTCAGTATTGGGGCCAGGGATTTGGCTCAATGGTTCCACCATGTGCCTTGCAAACACAAAGTCCAGAGTTCAATTCCCAGTGCCAAAAAACAAAAAACAAAAATCCCCAAAACAAAAGTAATGTCACATTAACATCATACAGCAAATCAGCCAATTGGAAATATTATTTAAATAGTATTATAAGAATATAATAAATTGGAAAAACTTTAAACATTTTGCAGTATTAAGGCTTTTCATTCAGAATTACCTATGTAATTCACATTTTCTGTACACTCTGATTTCTAATATGTGGTTTAACTTTTATTGTATTTATTCCAGAAGTTTATTATTACAAATGGAATATTTCTAATTCATATTCTAAATAATTTTATATATTCAAAGTTAATAACTTCATTATATTCTATATCATATTTTCTCAAAAATTTCACTGATAATTGAGTCTTACTTTTCTATATATTATTGATATCATTTAATGTACTATTTCTTTTCATTCTTTCCCGAAGTTTAAACCATTTGTTATATATGTATACTTTTATTTTATGTAATCATAGATTTACTTGCATTTGTAATAAATATTGCAAAGAGAATGAAACCTTTCATATTCTTCATTCATTTTTTAAGTGACAAATATAAAATTGCCTAATATGACCAAAAAATTGACATTGCAATTCTCTACCTTACTGATTTCACCAAGTTTACATGTGTTTATTTGTGAATGTCTATCACACAACTGATCATAAGAGCAATACCAGTCAAAATATCCACAATTTCATCACCAGGATCTCATGCACTGCTACCCTTTTATGATCATACTTCCCTCATTCTAAGCATTGGCCAATAGAGCTCTTTCTATATCTCTAGCATTTTATATTTCAGCAATACCACAGAATTTCTATTTTATGTTATATACCTTTTGGAATTGTCTTTTTTCATTCAGCAAATTCGTTTGATACTGAGTACATCAGTAATCTCTTCCTTTGTAGTGATGAGTGATGTTCCAACAGAGTTAGGACAGTCATTCATTGAGTGGCAGTTGTTATTTCTAGTTTTGAACAATTCTGAATAAAGTTGCTTTAATACTTCTTTACAAGATTTTGTGTGAGCTTACATTTTGTTTCTCTAGGATACATAGCCAAGGCTTAAATTGCTGGGTCAAATAACAAACACATATTTGACTTTATTAAACTCCATATGCTTTTTAGAGTAGTTATAACACTTCACGTTTTCAGAAGCCATGTATAAATGACCCACTTTCTCTGCAACTTTATGGTGTTTTTCTTTTTTTAACTTTTCTGTTATGTAGGTAATGATTTCCCATTATGGTTCTGTATTTCTCTAACAGTTAATGAGGTTGAATATTTCTTAATGTGTTTACTTGTGATTTACATACAATCTTCAGTGAGATATTTATTTTGTTTTGTTTTGCGCATTGTGTTACTGAACTTTTTTTTTTTTGGTGTGTTTAATTTGCTGAATGTAGTTATTTTTCCTGTATTCCACACGCAAATCTTTTATCAGATATATGATTTTTAAATATTTCCATCATTTTAAACTTGCATTTTATCCTCATAAAACATATTTTGCCAGAAAAATATACAGATTTTTCAATGAAATATCGATGAAATTCTGCTTATCAGTTTTTTCTTTTACAAACCTTGCTTTTGTGTCAATTGTCTGGGAAATCTTTGCCTTTATTTTTTCTAAAAATAAATATATCCACTAAATATAAATAAAAATAAAGATAGCTATGCTTTCTTAAAAATATCCATATCTATACAAATCTTTGTTCACTTCCTCAAAATTTTTCATAGCTGCTAGGCATTGTCCCTGACATGCTTTTAAGTGTTCAGGCCTTGACTAAAGTCATCTTTGAGATAGACAGATGGTAGATAAAGGAGAGATGACTGCTAGAATAATTAAGCCTTGCTTTAAATAACCTCCAAGATTTATTTCTATCTCTAAACTCTTTTATCCAGAAGCTTCCTCGAAGTTTCATCACACATTTGGGGTG